GTGCTGCATAAGCTGTGGGGACATGAGTGTGAATGTGACCAGACTGTGTGGACCTGGTCGCTTATGTGGACATCACACACGTCCACACAATTTTCACAGGAAATACATTAACTGTGTGGACTTAGTGATGTCTGACTTGTCGCGCTCCTACAGACTTTTTGGTGAACAAGGAAAGCTGCTGGCGGCTAATAGCAATGGGACTTGAGTGTTTGGCTTCCCTATCTCCTGATATAGAATACTCCTTGTACAACATTTCATAATAAATTAATAACCCAATCAACTATTTAAATAATTCTTACAGTTTGGTTAAACATAGCATAATTATCATTTATATATATATTTATTTATTTATATAAATATTATTTTTTAACTTTTTATGCCACCTAATATTTTTTTCATAGTTATTTATTTCACTATTTGTTCTTGTGATTCCATTTAGCTCATATTTTCACCCATCTTCTTTCATTTATTTATTTTTTCTATTTGATCAAATAGAATTAGATAAAAGGATAATTTAATTTATTTACTTCATTTCACATTTATGTTTTTCTTCTCCATTAAATATGTGTGTACAATTTTTGTAAATACTTTGTTGGAATAAATATATAATTCATTCATTCATTCAAAATAAATATAATGAGTGTGTCATATAATAAATCATTATCACATTTAATTGTTACATATATTATTCAATATGGTATTTAGTAAGTAAAAAAAAAAACGATTTGCAGGATCCATTTGCAACAATTTGCAAGTGAATAGACAGTGCTGGCCAGACTTTACAGTTTTAACTAGTTTTATCACCTTTTATTCTTTTTTTATAATTTGATCAAAATGACTAGTTTTGACTATCGTGATTTTGACAGTATTTTAAAGAATCTTTTGACATACCACAATGTTAATACATTGATTATGTGGTTGCATACAATGACTTGACGAAGTTCTAAGGAACGAAACTAGTCGTCATACCAGCAACTGTGGTTGGATGAGGTAATCCTTTTATATTATTAATAAAACTTGTGTGTGTAATAGAAAGCAAGTGGTTTACTAAGAACAAATAATAGAAGTCATTGGATTTATCCTTTTTGTCGTGAAAGTTTTTATACTATCGTATGTCAGTCCAGTCATTCGATGAGCTTCTTCAGATCATGAGGCATCAGATAACAAAAATAAACACGCATTTTAGGAATGCTATTCTATGCTATCAGAATATTATTATGCCTGTTTGTCCCACAGGGATAGCTGGCAATGAACATTTTCGATAAACTTATCAATATCAAACATTTCTAGTAGAATCTAAACAACCGCACAACGCAACAGGATAGTGTGCACGAACCCCCGAGACTGGACGAGTTTTCGGTCTTTGTCTGGTCGTACTAAGATGATTGATTAAATGCACTAAGTTGTGACAAAATTAGTCAGTACAGTTTTATCCCTGTCTTATTACATTTTTCCATTACAAGTACCATCATTAATTAAATGGCCATCATTAATTGTCTTTACTTTCTGATTAATTGCGTTCTTAAGTACGGGGTTTGTGAGTGTAGATGCTAAGTTTGAGAACGCCTCACAGAAGAAATTTACACTCGCTAAAATCTGGTGATCTAGGGGCCACGACATAATATCACGACATAAATATTTGGAAGGTGAAATAAACCATTCTAGAATAGAAATATAATAAATTTAATGAAAATTGAATCCTAATGGGCAGTGAATCTTGTTAAATTAACATTTATAAGGTTTAATGTTTATCTAACGTTGTTGTCTCACCTGTGACATAAAAAGAGCTTAATCAACAATTATGAACCACAGCTTGACACAGGGCCGTCCGAAGGGGGGGGGGGCAACCGGGGCAAGTTGACCCGGGCGCCGGAACAAATTTTGTTTGTGGTATTGTAGGTTTGCATGAATTGTAAAGGTTATCAGATTATGGCGTTAATAAATACGAATCTGAAAAATGAGGCTGTAGTTAACAGCGAATCTAGCAGTGGGGAGGAGGGGGCACCGCGACTACATTTTCCCCGGACGTTGACAACCCTAGGGACGGCCCTGGTTGACAAAGCGTTTCAACATCTACATCATCCTAACAGTTTCTTTAGAACCGTACGGCTGCATTTTCCCGATAGATTCCGTTTCCCTAAAATTCATTCGTACGGACATAATTCATTTTTAGAAAAATAGAAAGAATTCAATAATAAAATGAATTACAATTAAAAAACTGAGAAGACAAAATGTTTAACTCTCCTCTAATAGTAAGGGGTTGTCGTCAAGATGCTACACCAACAAAACGCCACCATCTAGATGACCGAAGTGTTGGGTTGACTTGTAGGTTGCAATTTAAGTGCCGTACCGACAGTATAGTCATTAATTAAAATATATAGTACATTTTCCTTACGTCCGCCAGTAATTTTAATACGGGAATACGCTTTATTTCTTCTCATAAAACCTTTTGTACTGCCGTTTATTATGGACGCTAACTGACTACAAGTACAGGTAATGTATCATAAGGGGGGGAGACGTGATTCATATGATAATATTTCTTTGTACTATCGGTCGCTGATTACTGTACAGAATTATCTTTTTCCTACCTGCATTAATCCATTTCCACTATCGTCGATTATAGGCGCTAACTAGAGCTACAGTTCAACATAGTCAAGCTATAGTCAAATTTGAAACTGAATTGAGTACCTCATCTGAAAGGGCTCTCTGTTCAGAGACAAAGTCAGTAGGTGTCATAGATTAAGTCAAAACCAAATACAGCAAAGTACTTAATTTATATATTATTAATATATAAAATATTCAATTAATATTAATTAATAAATCAATATTGTAAAATATTAATATGAAATTAATAGTATAAAATATTTATATCAAATTATACAATATTAATATATAATATTAAATTATATTAGTAATATGGAACCAAATCAATTGTATCACTGAAAAATATCGATATTTCTCCAGCAATATCTTTATGAAGACATTGGTGTTTTGGCCTGATATTTTAATCTGACAAGAAACTGTATTTCTTACTTATTAAATATTTTTTACAATGAATTAATACATGAATATTGTTATTTCATATGCTACATAGCAATTCGGATGTGACTAATATACAACGATTTGTTTATAAAGAAGAGTGGAGACATAACCTAAACATACTGTCAAAATGCAACCAGTGAAATTCCCAAACTGTGTGGACATTAACACCTTTAAGCGAAAAAACACTCGATTGTGTCAACATTTGCATTATCTGTGTGGACATGTGTACTAGCTTTTGCATTACCTGTGGGGACATGGCCGACTCTTGCATTAACTGTGGGGACGTCCACACAATTTTTATGATTTTTTTTACTACATTTAGACCAATAAACAAGGAGTGTTCTTTTATTCGTCTTCAATTTGAGGTTAGAAAGAACCTAGGATATTTTTTTCAGCCGTGTGCCTTGATGTCCACATAGTTTGGTTAAAAACCCATGTCCACACAAGTATAGGGATGGCGTGTACGTGTGTGCGTTGTGTGTGTGTGTGTGTCTGGATGTGTACAGAGCTAGAGACTACACCTGTGGTCCGATTTCGATGAATTTCGATGAATTTCGATTTGGTATGTAGGTTCTAATCCATGGTATCTCCAGGCGTTTTTTTCATTTTTTTGAAATTTTTATTTTTAATGGGGATTTTCCCATAAAAACCCATAAAAAATGGAAAAAAAGGATTTCAAAAAAATGGCCCGAACGATTTTGATAAAAATTTAGTATGTTGTAGCCCTTTAAATTCTGAATAAAATGGTACCAATCCCATATCTGTAAAAATTACGGTTCAAAAGTTATGGTCAAATATGTTATTTTCCCATAAAACCCCATAAAATAACGGAAGAATAGGATTTTCCGAAAAATGGCCCGAACGATTTTGATAAATTTTAGTTATGGTCAAATATGTTATTTTCCCATAAAACCCCATAAAATAACGAAAAATAGGATTTTAGAAAAAAATCCGGTTTTGATTTAACATAGTATGTTATATTCCTTACAGTTTTGATAGTTTTTTTTTTTTTTAATTTTTTAGACATTTTTATTTTTAATGGGGATTTTCCCATAAAAACCCATAAAAAATGGAAAAAAAGGATTTTCTAAAAAATGGCCCGAACGATTTTGATAAAAATTTAGTATGTTGTAGCCCTTTAAATTCTGAATAAAATGGTACCAATCCCATATCTGTAAAAATTACGGTTCAAAAGTTATGGTCAAATATGTTATTTTCCCATAAAACCCCATAAAATAACGGAAGAATAGGATTTTCCGAAAAATGGCCCGAACGATTTTGATAAATTTTAGTATGTTATAGTCCTTTATATTCTGAACAAAATGGTACAAATCCTATTTCTGTAAAAATTACGGTTCAAAAGTTATTGTAAATTATATCATTTTCCCATAAAACCCCCATAAAATAACAGAAAAATTGGATTTTTCCAAAATTGGCCCGAACGATTTTGATAAAAATTTAGCATGTTATAGTCCTTTAAATTTTGAACAAAATTGTACAAATCCCAAATCCATCTCACCTTAAACACGATAAGGGTTGTAGACAAACTTATGGGAGAAAGTATGTGTCAGAATGCTGATACCGTTTATTGTTTGTCAACTTATGATTTTATTGTTTGCTCACAGGGTGACGACAGCCAATTTCCAACTCCAACGCCATAGTTTGCAGGTCAATACGTTTATCGTATTCTATTTTATAAATTTAGCTTCAAACGTACACAATACTAAAACAGTGAATCATTATCCAGATAATAAGTTATTTTGAAATTTAAGAGCAACAAATACTATGAGGATAAGGTAAATATACCTTATTTACTAAAGTTATTTCTAACACAGCTAAGTAATTATTTTCCTTTCCTCTGTGGTATACTAAATCTCAACAACACCAGAGGAAAGTGCGCCATTAATCATGTAAACGGTGTACTTGTTACTTGACTGAAACTAAACAGTTCGATTTACCTGATTGTGCAAGTAGGTGATTGTAACGTAATAAGTTTAGCGCAGAGAACGCTGACATCATGCTAGGTGTTGTGATGTCCACCTTGGTTACATCAGGAGGGCCGGGGTCGCTGAAGCTACGATACGCTTCCATCAGTCAACTAACTACGGTCATGGTCTCATCAGCAGTGTGAGACAGAGGCGTCGGGAGTAACAGTAATTTGCATGTTAGTTGTCGGACCTAACAATCCGTGTAAACCAATGACAAATCTTTCTCAAGCCCCGCCTCGCGCCTGCGTCCCGATACTGGCCTCTCATTGGTCACTACTTTGTGTCCTTTCGTTTCATTTTTTTACACACAAGCAAAAGGTGACACAATGCATTGCCTATTTTCTTACCCATTCTTTGATCAATCTATGACACCGTGAGTCAATTTGTTCTATAACGTGTAGATTCCGACAGCTAGGTACCGTAACCCAACTAATTACAGTTTAAAAATACCCCCACCGCAGCAAACCTGCAGACTAAGCGAATTTCCAATTGCCTGATTGGATTGGATTTACACTAAAGTGTCTCCTTAAAAATATCACATTTATTCCCTATTTAAATAGAAAATATGTTCATAAACAAGTAAACTACAACAGTTCACTTATTCTACATAAGAATAACATAAGAATTTTAAATTTACATTTTGTTGGAATTTTCTCCGTCACCATTAGGTGCATAGTGACGCTTCAACATACTAAATTATTTGTTTTTTTTAAGTTCTACAAAATGGTTTGGAAAGAAATTGTAAAATTTTGTGTTTATTGGGTTAAAAATGGGAAACCCATATTTTTACCTCATAAAACCCCTCATAAGCCCCCGTTACCATAGTCCGATCATCCTGGTTTGTGAACTCGTTCGAATAAATGTTGGTTTCTAGAGACCTCAAATGAAAAATTAAATTGGTCCCGGGTCCAGGTCTTACAATGAGTACTGCGGTAATAGATTATTACCTAAATGGGAAATTCACTAATAAGATCAAATGTATTCAAGTCCGAAACATTTTCGTTCAAATACATTATTTATCCCTTCTCAATAGCACAATTTTTACAAATCTAAATATATAAAAGGCAAAGCCCTCACTGACACACTCACTCACTCACTCATCACTAATTCTCCCACTTCCCATTTACCTAGGAGGCTGAAATTTGGTACACCGATTCTTTAGGCATTAAATAGGAAAACTAAGTTGTTTTTATTCTGATCGGACTCTCGGGCTCCGCCCCAGTGGCTCTGAAGTTTCCCATGTTAACCTTATGATTTTTCATATTTAAAAGGAATTAATGAATCTTATCAGCTGTTTCAATTAAACAAGTTGGTTCTGTTCTATGATGTTCAATAGCTTTAAAGTTACAAGGATTGCCAACAGGGTGCAGCACTATTATTATTTTTTTAATTTATGACAACAGCTAATTTGCAACCAAAAGGTGAGTGGAGTGAGCGTAGCGAACAAACTTCAACCTGGAGGCGAGTTAGCGTAGCGAACGAGCTAACCTCAAGGCAAGTGAGCGCAGTGAACGAGCTCCAACCTAAAGGTGAGTGAGCATAGCGAACGCACTTCAACCAGGACGTGATTGAGCCATGCGAACGAGCTCATCTTGAAAATTAAGAAGTTAAACGGGGCAAAGCCCGCGGGTACAGCTAGTATTCATATAAAACCATTTTTTTATTTTTTTAATAGGCGTCCTCGTATCACTCAGATCGATTGATTCATTTAAGATTGACTTTTTATACGGCATTGAAAACAAAATTTGAATTTAATGTATCATTCAAAACAGCGATGCTCATTTGGAAGCGCATTTTTAAGTGGAATAGTAATGCAGAATGAGTTTATAATTAACTTATTAACTGAGATCACTTATGTAGGAATATCTTTAATTAAAAAATGTCCTCATAAATTTGGGATTGAAGTAAAATTTTAACAACGTTCAAGTAATTTTGACACTAGACAATATAAATGTTGTAGAAAATTAATTTGGATACCAAAACGTTGGTGTTTACTGTGTTGTGTATTAAAGGTTCAACCCCTTTCCAAAATTAAGATTTTTCGCAGACCGGTATCAATATTAATTACTCTTTGAATTGCATTTATTTACGTTTGAAAAATATATGCATACAGTGATAAAATAATATATGCCCATGGATTTTTTTATCGCCACTAAATCCCTCTTGCAGGCCAAAAAAAGATTACAGTTGTTAATTTTATCAAACAAATCGTAATATTATTTTGCAAAAAATATAGTGGCTGAAAATATGTATACACATCATTTTGTTTTATGTTGCTCAGAAACTGACACTAGGGCCAAGATGCAAATGAATGCCGGTACCTTTATTTCATCAGAAATGCTTTCAACTAAATAGTGTATGATGTCTTAAATAAGACAACTTCGTTTATAATCTTTTGCAAAAAAAACTTATCTAATAAAACAATATCGTTAATTAGAGTAGTTAGATCATGCTTAAAAATATGGCAATTGTTATTTTAACCCCTCTTTTTAGCATCAATAACGTTTGGAAAAAGTACTGAAACCAAAATACTGCTTAAATAAACGACATTTATTTGAAAGATTGGTAGAATCTACTGGTTCCAGGGGCAGGCCTAAGCACCCGCACCACAATTTCAATTACGAAATAGTATGGGTCTACGATCACTAGAGATTTCATGATCTTACCACGATTGTGGAGACGATGATAATGTCTCCGCGAACGCAGTAGGAGACAGAAGTGATTCTTCCGATCGCAGTAAAGACAGAAGTGATTCTGCCGATCGCAGTAAAGACAGAAGTGATTCTGCCGATCGCAGTAAAGACAGAAGTGATTCTGCCGATCGCAGTAAAGACAGAAGTGATTCTTCCGATCGCAGTAAAGACAGAAGTGATTCTTCCGATCGCAGTAAAGACAGAAGTGATTCTGCCGATCGCAGTAGAAGACAAAAGTAATTCTGCCGATCGCAGTAGAAGACAGAAGTGATTCTGCCGATCGCAGTAGAAGACAGAAGTGATTCTGCCGATCGCAGTAGAAGACAGAAGTGATTCTGCCGATCGCAGTAGAAGACAGAAGTGATTCTGCCGATCGCAGTAGAAAACAAAAGTGATTCTACCGATCGCAGTAGAAGACAAAAGCGGTTCTGCCGATCGCAGTAGAAGACAGAAGTGATTCTGCCGATCGCAGTAGAAGACAGAAGTGATTCTGCCGATCGCAGTAGAAGACAGAAGTGATTCTACCGATCGCAGTAGAAGACAAAAGCGGTTCTGCCGATCGCAGTAGAAGACAGAAGTGATTCTGCCGATCGCAGTAGAAGACAGAAGTGATTCTGCCGATCGCAGTAGAAGACTAAAGTAATTCTGCCGATCGCAGTAGAAGACAGAAGTGATTCTGCCGATCGCAGTAGAAGACAGAAGTGATTCTGCCGATCGCAGTAGAAAACAAAAGTGATTCTACCGATCGCAGTAGAAGACAAAAGCGGTTCTGCCGATCGCAGTAGAAGACAGAAGTGATTCTGCCGATCGCAGTAGACACTCACGATTTAGTCGCGTTCACGGGAGAAGTTATAATAGGCACCAATAAAGTTAATAGAGTCCAGATATTGCAATCAAACTTCTTAAAATATTGAGAAATCTTATTCAGGTTTTGGTACTGTACCCTAACCTGTTTTGCTACTGTATATAGCCTAATAACAGATGACTGACAGTTTTTTACAGATTGATTGGTGTAATCTATTTGGTAGAAATAATTTTGCTCTCTGTACATCTGAAATGTACCTTACAATAAAGGCTACTCCAGCTGATGACAAATACGTGGGTTGCATCTAATCATAGCACTTAGTTATAATATATTTGGGCGTTAAATTGCACACAATTCTCTTCTATTCTGGCGTTGATAGATAGCACACGCCACATACTTTCACATTAATAGTATTTAGTACAACGAATGTTGGAATGACAGAAAAATTGCATTTAGCGATTTTCCCATAATAACCCATGGGAATAAGCTAGTACCGTAGCTTTTTTATCCAATTTTTTTTTCATCCGTAGCCATTTTTGATCCAAAAAACATAACATTTAGCGTTTTCTTTCCAAACCATTTTGTAGAGCTTAAAAAAAACAAATACTTTAGTATATTGAATGTTAAAATAAAATAAAAATTAAGAATCTATCTTAATATTTGAGCAAGAATACTACATTATGACATAAATAAATAAATAAGGTCTTTATTCATGAGCGAATTTCAGTTACAAAACTGTTTTACAAATTGACTCAAGTCAGGACTTAAACTAAATAAAACCTCTTATAACTACGAAACAAAATAAGATTAGTTACAAACTCTTTAGGTGATTCTTAAAACTGCTTTTAGCTTGCAAGGAAGTGCATTGTACTGAGCCGGCCCGAAGTAAGAAAAACCCCTTCTACCAGCATCAAGAACAACCCTTGGTATGTCAAGCAACAAGTCCTGTCTAGTTCTGCGCTCTCTCACGGCCGACCTCGCTTTCAGTTTTTCCTTCAAGTACTGTGGTGTCTGAGTGACCGGTGTTTTGTGGACGATACATGCAACCTGCTTATCACAGCTCTCTCGGACGGACATTGTATTTGAGATCCTACGGTGACTTGTTATATGATCATATTTTTTAAGTTTGTATACGAACCTTAGGGAGCAATTCTGTAGCCTGTGAAGTATTGTGATCTGTTCCTGTGTTAAGCTGTATCCAAAAACAGATAGGCAGTAATTTAAAGTAGGGAAAATCAGGGATTTGACCAACCTCAACTTGATGTTTGCTGGGAGCAATGTTCTAAACCTATTAAGCACTTTTAATTTTCCAACAACACGTTTGCTTATCTGTTTTACATGGCTAGAGAAAGTCTGCTATGTGTCAATTGTCACACCAATAATCTTAATGCTTTTAGAAGTTGAAAGCTCTGAGTTATTAACTGTAACTTTTATGCTATTTTTTCCCAGCTGCTCATAGATTGCTGTATTGGCAAAGTGTATAGCGGAACATTTTTCAGGGTTTAGCTTTAATCCATGATCCTTAGACCATTCACAAACCTTTGAAAGGTCACTACTCATATGCTGTAATGCCTCCCCAACCAAAGTAGGCTGGTATGATAAGAA